TGCTTTTCGCCTAAACATATTAAAGTTTAGATTAAAACGGCTACAAGTTATAACTGGTTTTGTAATATTCATTTAGGAATTTATTTGCAACTCGATATATTTTTAAGTAGATACTCCTAGTTTTTTATCGTGATTTTATTTCTGTTGTGACAAATATGTATGTAAAATAAAATAATACAATATTACACAACATGTAATTTATTTTGGTAATTATTGTTAATAGATTATCTATACATATAATAAAATTGGAACTTAGCGAAATGTGTACATAAAATATTTTTTTGAAACAATGAGTGTGACGTATTGTGTACAAAATATATAGACCCAAAACAATAGTTATTAACTAGATTTTTCAAGTTTTACTACTTTCTAGTACATTGTTTTGATGCATCTCACAAGATTCAAATTTTAGGCGTTAGCCAATAAATTTCTAAGGACGATTTAATGTATTTTCCGGGGAATAAAAAGTTTTTCTGTACCAAAAGTAACACTTTCAAAAGATATTGACCCGAGCAAACCAGGCCTACAGACAAACACACATAGAGACAAAATAATTAATAACTATTGTTTTGGAGCCCATACTATGTGTACAATACGTCAGTCATTGTTTTAAAAAAATATGTCATGTACATACAGATTACGCTAAGTTACTATTATTATACGAGTATATATGAATAGATAACAATTACCTTATTTGTAGGATATATTGAATATTGTGCTATAAATGCTACTTTGTCCTATAAAGCTAATCAGCATTAGAAATCAAAGAAGATTTCAATATTAATACTATTAAGAATTTTGTTAACTCTATCATTATATCATGCTTCAAACCTATTCGTAAGTGTGAAACTATTTCATCTAAAATGATGTATTCATGGAATCCTATGTCATGGGAGCCGTGTTCCTTTTCCTATGTTAAGTATTTGATATTCAACAATCGCTTCTTTAATCATCTTGTATGTATGCCGATCATCACCGTTTGCGTCTCTTTATAATAATACTAGCATAACCCACGGCTTCGTTCGCGCTAAAACTACAAAAAAACTCTAAAAATGAATCTTGTGAGATGAATTTCGAAAAATGCTAAAACACGTATTTATTTATTGTATTGAAGAGTATTAAATACCAAGTTTCAAGGAATTCTGATCATAAATATTTTTTTGGATTGTATTATAACGTGTTTTCCCGTGGAAAAGAGATAATCTCCCGCGGTAATAAGTAGCTTATGCCACTCTCCAGCCCTCCACTATCTCCATACAAAGAATCACGCCATCTGCCAAGCCGTTTCGACGTGAAAGAAAGACAAACAAACAAACAAACACACTTTCTTATTTATAATATTAGTATGGAGTATGGACATACTGATAATATAGATAAAAAATAACTATATGAAATCATCGACGATATTTGCTGACATTTAAACTGCAAAGTTAATAATATGTTACAAAATTATTTATGTGTTTTAGCATAGTCGAAAATTCAAATGACATCATTTCGGAGTGTCTATAGATTATATTTAGCAATCACTTTCAGAGAGTGCTAACACCTGCAATACTTTTTTTTATAATTGCGTCTTTTTTATATTAACACTACCATTGCCCGCGGCTCCGTCCCTCGTTTAGATGACCAAAAACCAAATTCTTAGGTTCTACATATTAGTTTACTCTTATATTGCAGTTTTTGTATTTTTACTCAGAAATGAAATATTTTCTCGCGGTAAAAAGTATCCTATATGTTTACCCGGATAAGCAGCTATCATCATACCAAATTTCATCAAAATCCCTCCAGTGGTTTTTCCGTGATGCGGTAACAGACAGACAGACAGACAGAAAGACACACAGACAGACAAAAATTCTAAAGACTATAGATTCGGCCTCTGTATCGATAATAATGTATATTTCAATAAGATTTTCCAAAACATATTTAATGTACAGATTCGGCTTAGTTAGAATTTTATTATATGTATAGATAATATGACTGTTGCTTCGAAAATGAATTTTCGCTAATTAGTTCATTACTATAAAAATGACTTTTTATTACTAACTAGCGTGGGTGAGTCCCTATTTAATTATAAAAAAGTTAAATTAGCACATACGTATGACCGCTTATATATTAATTATTATAAAAAATTTCAAAGGTGGCTTAGAAACCCATAATATATTATAATGTTATTTATTTTTTAAATTATTACATCCATATTTTCGTGTATGTATTTGAAATATATTATACATATATTATATTTTTATTACTTCAAATGATATCTGAATGATATCTGTATCGATAATAATGTCTACTTCAATAAGATTTTCCAAAAAAATATTTAATATAGAGATTCAGCTTAGTTACAATTTTATTATATGTATAGATATTTTTTGTTCACCCCTAAATAAATATATCATTGTCTGTTTGAGAGTAAGTTACTTAGTTAATTTAGAGAAGTTGTACAGCCGATATGGCTAATAGAAAAAATAAAAAAAAACACAGGATGATAAATATATGTATATGTACGTATGTGTTCAAACCCCATGATATAATGTAATATAAAGCTTAGATATTTACGATATTTTTTTTCTTAAGAAATTCTCTTAGAGGTTAGTCAGATGTTAAAGATCAAATGTGATGTGGAATTTAGTAGAAATAAACACGAGGAATAATAAATTAAGTATTATTTCCTCTTTGACATAACTTGCATATTATTAAAATATATTCTAGATTAATTTGTTTCTCTATTAAAATTTCGTTTTTTACCTATAATTTGAAGTTTTTGTTAATAAGCTTTTAATTCTTTTTATATAGATTATTACTACTTAGTACTTATATCTTTTTATCATATTCAACCTATATATCTATAACGGTATATATATTGATGAAATTTGGTATGGTGATAGCTGGTTATCCGGGTCAACATATAGGATACTTTTTACCGCAGGAAAAAGTCTCATTTCTGAGAAAAAATACAAAAACTGCAATGTAAGAGTGTACTAATATGTAAAACCTATGAATTTGGTTTTTGGTCATCTGAACGTGGGCGGAACCGCGGGCAGTGCTAGTAACATATAAATTCAAAGATATTGTAACTCTCATAATTAACAAAGGAATTGATATGATTGCAAGTGTGAAGTATGATATTAAAGTTTGAAACTTCTCGTCTCGCCTTTGTCATAAATTACGTAATTAGATGTAACAAAATTCTAGGCGCTTTGCAACTTTGTATACATTCCGTAGTCTTGAGAAATAAGTTTGTTGAAGTCGCGCCAGCTTGATTAATTTCATTTAACTTTAGCAAACATCAATGAGCAGATAAGTATCTAATGTAAATTAAGTTAGTCATAGGTAGTATTTAATTAGAATACGAGTATATGCCCAAAATACGAATTATATTAATGTAGCGTTTGGAAGCAACCGGCAAGCATATTCATGTCACAATAATTATACAATGTTTTAAAATGTTTCTAACACAAACTTATACAATAGAACCTACTTTAAGAATATTTCCTAAAGTCTACATATTTATTTACTTATGTATATATGCACATTGCCACACATTTCAATTATTGGGATATCCCAAAGACGGCATGGAATACCTACTGTTATTTTTATAAATTGCGAGTTCCATTTATATTTGCACGAAATTTGCTGAAGCGGATTACTTAAAGAGATTTCGGCCAGGTCAATCGCGAAAATACCTATTCTTGTCATACAAAAAATCTCTTTATAATTTTGATCACGTGCGGTTTATATTTTAGCAATGTCCATGGTGTTCGTGACCGTAAACCCACAAGTCACATTCAACCTATCGCTTTTAAGTTTAGGCGCACGTACCGGAGACAAGGATCAAGAAAAATGGTTTATAATCTGCTAAATAAACATATTCAAAAGGTTTTGTAGCTGTAACCGAAGAAATATATTCAGTAGACACTACGTTGTAAATACATATTCCTGTACATGTAATTTCTGTATATGTAAT